TTATACTCACTGCTCGTACAAGGCCTGTGGCTAGGTGGGGTTGTACCTGCCCCCAGGAAACAGACAGATTGAAACAGTTAAGGCCTCCTCCCCCCCCCAACGATCCTTGCACTTACTTGTAAAAAGCTTGGTTTTCGATCCCGCATTTCCAGAGATGCTTGCACGCTTCTGGGGTTGGAGCAAAATAAGTCAGAACAATTTTCTTTTCCTACAAAAAAAAAATTCCACATGGAAACAACTGAGTGTGGTCGGCAGGTGGCAAACGGACAATCCGCAGGCAGACGAAACTCGAACGATCACGGATCACACAGCAGCCCTGCGGGGCGCTACTGGAAGTGTGGCTGGTTTCAGCTGGGAAAGTCTCAGTTACCTGGTACGTGGCTCACCCATAGCCCTGGGCATCCCAAACCACGTATTGTAAATATTGGCAGGGTGGGGCCGCGCCGCATTTCGACATTGGCGTGTGCGCGCTCAGTCAGACGGCCAGGTGGGCACGAGGAATGGACCTGCCGAAACGCCGGGAGAGCCCTGTCCTGAGCGGACGCTGGAGACGCTGCGCCGGATGCCAGGCTGAGAGGTACCCGAACGGTTTCTGAGCCTGGCATGGATGCACTGGACTGCGTGGCTGTGGAACCAGGACTCCGGACACGCCCATGACACAGGGCTACCACTGGCCTGAAAGGCTAGTTTGTTTATGTAAATCTGGCAACGGCATCTAATTCAAATCCAGGTTGTACCCTTCATTTCTCTTTGTGAGGAAGGGCTGGATCCCACTCTCCTTGGAGCCAACAGAGACCAGACCCTGCTGCCGTGATTCCAGGAAGAAGCAGTGCGCAACAGAAATTAGTGATCACTTAGCCCTGCTGGACGGCCCGTGGTCTCTTCTAGTACAACACTGGCCCGATGCCATGAGCGCAGCTTCTTAGCCCTGGTCTACACTAGGGCTTCATTTCAAAATGACCCCCCTTCGGTCGAATTAATGAGAGGAGCGTCCGTACTACCAAGCCCGTTATTTCTAAGTCAAGGGACACTTATTTCAGAATCTCGCCTCCTGCTTTTCATCAGGAGCAACGCTCAGTCCGAAATCGTTATGTCGAAATCGCGGTGGTGCGGATGCTCTACTGCCGCTATTTCGAAATAACGACTCCCCACAGTCATTCGAACTAGCTTCTCCCCAGCGCTTCCCGGGGCCGTAAGTCACGGTAGCGCATCCACACGAACGGAGCCTGCCTCGGACGAATTTCGAGGCTTCCCTGTAGTGAGGGACGCTAGTTCGATTTGGTTAAACAGGAGTTAAGTTGATTTCAATAATTTTGAAATAGTTTCCTAGTGTAGACGTGGCCTTAGTTGAGTAACAAACTTCTGATCAAACAAGGAGGCCAATGCTCCTCAGAAACTAACAGATTTATTCAGGCCACGGCTACCTCTCGGAAACTTCAGTAGGGCGCTGAGTTTATTTTTTCTACCACACACAATAGCAGATGTTTAATATTTTGAAGCAGAAGTAAAGACAGTTCCCAATGAACCCTGAAATGATGAGAAAATCCACTCACCTCTTTCTGACTTACATATAAATAGAATGTCTTTCCCTCAAATTTCATTTTGGTTACCTCGTTCCTAAAATTACAAAACCACATATGTAACAGACACGCCGCTCCCCACCCGTATCGCTGTCACTAACGCAGAACCCACACAGAGTGGAATTGGATCCGCTAATATGTACAAATTAAGCCAAATTGTTTGCATGAAAAGCAAAGTTAATCAACAGACTATTTTCAGAACAGTCGTGGGGACAGTCTCAAAGCTGTATTTGGCAGGTTGTCCGAGGCCTAACAGGGTGACGAGAGGACTCCTGGCTCAAAGACAGCGGCTGGAAAGGGGACTAGCTCGGGAAGGACCGTAATTCGCAGGAGGCGTGCCCAGGAGTCGTTTGAGAACTTTGCTTATGTATGTGCATTCTCAGGATGAAAATACCAAATGTAGGATACCACACTGAGCTGATGAGGCCAAAATTTGAGATACAGCGAAGAATGAGGAACAATGCAACCAGATTCAGAGGGTTTGGGGGGTCTTTCGGGTGACTGTGCCAATACATGGACAATGCAGTTTAATGTAGACAAATGTAAAAAATAATAAGTCTGGGGCAACAAACCAGATAGAGAGAATACATATCACATGGAACAGTCATGCAGCGTACTGACCAGGAAAGGGGCTTAGGGGTTATTGTAGAAAAATCCTTGAAGCCATCAACCCAGTGAGTGGCTGCAGTAAAAAAGGCAAACAGGATACTGGGATGCATCAACAGTGGGATAGAATACAGAGCAAGAGAAGTGATACAGTCACTGTACATTGCGCGGCGTAGAGCTTAGCTAGACACGGCAGCCCTGGAAGAAAAGCGCCAGCTGAGCGCCCGGAGTTAGCTTCCTGGCGGCGTTAAAGGGAGACGGCCTCTTTTTCCGCAGCAGAACCGGCCAAGAGGCTTGGCAAGGTAGGTGGGTTGCGTTTCCATCGTCCTTTCGTTGCTGGGGACGGCACTTCCCGGGCTGCCTCCCAATTCCTGCTTAAGCGCAGGAGCGTCCGCAGGCTGGGGCCCCAGGCCAACCAAGCAAAACGTACCCGTCGCACCACCAGGTAACGGCCTGCCTCGCCGTTCGTTCCCAGGGCTCGCCCTGACACAGGGCCGTGCAACGGCAGCAAGCATGCCCACCGCAGGAGCCCAGCCCTGCCCCACGATGCCCGTTGAAATCCGTGGAAATGCTCCACGTGCCGCTTTTCAGACCTTCCCCGGCGCGAGCTCCCGGCCCTCGGCAGCACCGACCAGCTGGGCAGGGAGAGCCGGAGCGGGCAGGACACTCCCAGATTTGAAGAGCAGTTCTCACGGCGGGCAGGCTAAACGCCTGACTCTGGTTTTGTTAGTGACCAGATAACGTCAGAGGGCCCCGATGCGCCCCGGCTCTCTCGACTCGGTTAGG